GATGGACCATTTGCCGAAAAATACTAGGTCGATGGAGTTTCCCGAACACTTCTGACATGCCAGGAACTGGAACCATTTTGTGTTAGACGTTGGGGGGACCCTGAGTCAGAAGGCATTTAATCTTGGTTTGAAAGAGGAATAAGATTTGGGGAAACTCCCACCCAAACAGCCCATCCGTGATGATGACTGTAGAGGCTGCAAGAGCCAAGGGACCAGTCTTGATGCTGTCTCTGGATGTTGTCAGCCCTGGCATCTGCACCACTATCTGGGGGTCACTGCTGGGAGCCTGGGCCTGGGGCTGTGGTCCTGACTTCCCCAGAAGCAAGGTGGCTATCTGACACTGCCCACGAGGGGGCAGCAGAGACTAGCCGCCAAATGGGCGCCCTTGGTCAGAATGAGGCTCCTGCAGTTAGAGGCCAGGACTGGCCCAGACAGGGCTTTCAAAGGCTGTTCTGGGTGAGAAGGCAGTACTGCTTCACACTTAAAGACTCAGGCTCTAGATCCAGGCTGCGCAGGTTCATATCCCAGCTCTGTCAGTGACCAGGGCCTGTTTCCTGGGCCTGAAACCTGTGCGGTCACAGGGCCGTGCTGCCAGGAGGGCTGCAGGTGGCTTTAATGCGGTGCTGCTGGCGTCCTGAAATTCTTCAAAATTGTTAGAATGAGCATCCTGCATTGTTTTTGTTTTTTGTTTTTGTTTTGCACAGCAAATTCCACAGCAGTTTCTTTTAATCTGGTCTTCTTGGGCCTCATGTTGATGTCACATGATTGATATAAGTGTACCGCTCATAGAGTTTCTGTGAAGACTCTCTGAGTTAATATGGAGAGTGTTTATAATAAAACACATAATAACTATGCAGTGACTTTTACTTACTACTATTACTGCTATTATTTATTTATTTTATGTTTGTGACTGAGTTTCACTCATGTGGCCCAGGCTGGAGTGCAAAGGCACGATCTTGGCTCACTGCAACTCTTCCTCCTGGATTCAAGCAATTCTCCCACCTCAGCCTTCCGAGCAGCTGGGATTATAGCACCCACCACCATGCCCAGCTAATCTTTGCACTTTTAGTAGAGATGGGGTTTTACCATATTGATCAGGCTGGTATTGAACTCTTGACCTCAGGTGATCCGCCCCTCGGCCTCCCATAATGCTGGGATTGCAAGCATGAGCCTGGACTATTGCTGCTATTATTTTAGATTTCAAGAGTACCATGGACTGATCATCAAAGGCCAATGTGCACTTCCTTGGGTACAGATCCATCTGCTTGGCAGCTCTCAGTCCATTCAGATCCCATTGCCCACCACTTATTGGGGTGCCCCAAAACGAGGTTGACATTGGTCCTGATCCAAGGATCCCATGGTCTGCAGGTTTAGGCTGTGGGCTGCACCTTGCTGACCCCTGATCTGTAGTGTCTCCCCTTCTCTCTGGACCAAAAGGAAAATATATGCTGTTTCCTCCCCTCGCTGAGGCTCAGGGAGCTCTGGGATGCTATCTTGGATAGGATGACCAAATGTGGTATGAGAATTCTGCACTGGGGCTGTGGTAAGTTTTCTCACGGTAAGCTTTGAATTTTCCTCCAGCACCAAAAAGGAAGCACCCAGGCTTTCTCAGCTTTCCAGGTGTCAGCAAGAAGGGACAAGGGAATGCTGAAGCTTAAAAGCCATCAGGAGTCAAACATCAATTAGTGAAGTCAAACTCATTACAATGCAGCATTTGGTTGGGTCTTGCGTTTTCTTTAATCCAATCTGAAAATCCTTTTTAATTGGTGTGTTTACATTATTTTTGTTTAGCATAATTATTGATATGGTTGGATTAAAATCTGTCTTTTCAGCAGTACTTTTGCATTTGTTCCTGTGTCTTTGTTCTCCTGTCTGCTTGCTTGTGTAGTGTTTAGGATTTCATGTTATCTCTGCTATTGTGTTCTTATTCATATCTCTTTTTAAAAATCTTTATTGTTTTTTCTGAGTATACAATATACATATTTAATTAATCACCTTTTGCCTTCAGATAATATATTATCAATTACACAAAGTGTAAGAATCTTACAAAAGTGTACTTCAAATGCCCATCTCTCATCTTTCCTATTATTTTTGTCATATATTTTGTTCTTACCTATGCTCTAAATTCACAGTTCATTGGTGCTATTTTTGTTTTAAACAGTAATTAAATATAAGGAAAAATATATTACCTTTATTTTAAAGTTGTCTGTAGAGCTTCACTTCTTCGATAAAGATCCAAGGTTTTGTCCTGTATTACATACTATCTATGTACATACAGAGTTTTCTTTCATACTTTTTGTAACACAGATGTGGTAATTACAAATTCTCTCTGTTGCTCATCTGAAGGCTTTTTTCCCCTCTATTTTTGAACAGTATTTTTGCTGGATATAGAATTCTGGGTTGAGAGATTTTTTTCCTTTGAATATTTTAAGGTGTCATTCCATTATTTTACAGTTTGCATAGTTTCCAGTGAGAAGTCCGCTCTAATCCTTTTCTTTGTATGCAATGCCTTTTTCCTCTGGCTGCCTTCAATATTTTCTCAGTGTGTGTCTAACTGTGTCTGTCATTTTTGTAGTTGTTGAATCCTGCTTGGGCTTTCTGAGCTTCTTGGATGTTTTTCATCACTATCAGGAAAATTCTCTGCCATTATCTTTTCAAATATTTTTTCTGTCTGCTCTGTCTTCTCTTTCTAGGATTCCAGTTATGCATATGTTGGACCATTAGATATTATCTCACAGTTCTTGGATTATCTGCATTTTTTTCACCCATTTATCTCATTTTAAGTTGGGTAATTTATATTGACCTATCTTCAAGTGCACTCATTCATTCCTCAGCTGTGTCAGATCTACTGATGAATCCATTGGAGACATTTCTCATATCTGTCACTATATTTTTCATCTCTAACGTTTCTATTTGCTTCTTTCTTACAGTCTCCACCTCTGCTGAAACTACCCATCTGTTCATGTAAGCATTCCATATAGTTATTTTAAATTTCCAGTCTGTTAGTCTAACACCTGGGTTATCTCTGAATCTGGTTCTGTTGATTGCTCTCTCTCTCTCTTTCTCTCTCTCTCTCTCTCTCTCTCTTTCTCTCTCACTGTAAGGGATGCTATCTCACCACAATGCCATGGCTAGAGTGCAGGTGGCTATTCATAGGTACAATTACAGTGCACTATAGCCTTGAACAGACAGGTTCATGCAATCCTCCTGCAGCAGCCTCCTAAGTAGCTGGGACTACAGGCATGCATGCTGGTGCCCAACTTCTTTGTCTCCTGTTAAGAGGTTTTGCCTCCTTTTTAAGGTTTGAAATTTTGAATACAATGCTTGATATCATGTATAAGAAAGTAGGAATTAAAGTAAGTAGTATCAGTGACAGGAAATGGGCATACACTTTCTTCTGCTGCTAGACTATGTGTGTGTGTGTGTTTGTGTGTGTATATATAACTGTATTTCAAGTGTGGTGAGCAGTGAATAGTTTTGTTGTTACTATGGTTATCTTAAATGTACCATCTGCTTCAGATGCTTCCAGTGCTACCTTGTGCGGGTTCTAGTGCACTTGTGTAAGTACTGGTTTTCTGAAGGGTTTTTTTAATGTCTCGTTCCACTCTCAGCTTTAGGCTGTCCTGTGCATCTGCTCTTCTGAGAGGGTCTCTCTGCATGCTTTCTCTCCCCAGCATAGATCTCTGTTACCTGGGACTTGGTAACTCCATAATAGCAGTGAGGAATGCTTTCCCTTGTCCTGGTCCAGCCTCAACATTAGGCAGGACCTTTGTTTGTTGGTGTTGGAGATGGGGCTTTTTCAGAGTTATTGACCATCCCCAGCAATAAAAGACAAATTATCTGGGCTCAAGATGATTCCCTGCCCCTCTCCCAGGAGTCTAGAGTTTTAAAATGTTCCTTATCTTCAACCTCAATATGTCTCTGCCAGTGCCTTGAGGAAGACAAGATTTGCTGGCCATTTCCCAGTGATTGAAGGATTTTGTTCCTTAGGAGTGAAGAGTGTGAGCAGGGCTCATGCCTGTGCCCCTGAAGGCAGGCTTTCTCCAGTCTTACCATCTACCACAATATTTCTCCTGGGCACCTGATAGATGTCCATGGAGTAGAGTCTGGGACAGTGTCAACTCCTCCTTGTGTCTGTGGTTCCCAGAGATTTTATACTCTCACAGTGGCCCACACCTGGCCTTCAGCACTGATTAAAAGTCATAGAATTTTTCTGCTTGTTATGGTCACCCCATCTTCTGCCTGCAGGTGAGAGGTAAGACAGAGTTCACATCCCATCCCTACCCCAAGTGCTTGTCTTCCCTTAGATTTCAGGGTAATAATGTGCCTTACAACTTCAGCTATTTGGTGCATGAAAAGTTATGATTTTGAGGACAATCAGCATTGACTTGCCACAAAGGCAGAAGCAACACTCTTTAGAACTTTCTACATCCTAGGAGAAGCAGAGATCATCCATGGGATTCTGAGAAACACTCTACAAGGAGGACCCTCTGGAGACTTACTCCAAGGTGGTCACTACCCACACCAGGAGTGGTCCAGGCTACAGAGGTAATTTAGACCAGCTGATGGAAGAGATAGGCTCATAGAGGGCACTGGGAGGCTATTGTACATATTCAGGAAGGTGTTTCAGGCCTGTGCAAGGGTCAGTAAGGGCCATGCAACAATGCCATGGAATCACCTCAGCATGTTTCCCTCTTTCCCTGATGCAGGCACATTCTCAGCTTGGGCCACCTCCACCACCATAGGAAGCTCCAAATGGAGGGTGGGGATGCTGCACTCTGGCCATCCCAAATCCTATTGTTGAAAATTGCTGGCAGCCAGAAACATGCAGGAAGCTCAGAGCTCCCCTGAGCACCATCTGTGGCCCAGCCCTCTGGGCTCTACTTGTCCTGAGGCCACGCCATCCCCAGCAAAGCCACTTTCCTTCTCACATTACCTTTTCATCATCGTTCTGTCTCTAGGAGGATGGATGAATCTCCAGTCCAAGACACAAGCACTGATTTGGCCTCCAAAAGATCCTTTATTCCCAAAGCTGAGGTCACAAATACGAAACTTGCTTCTTCATGGCCTCTGCCCCTGCCCCTCACCACCAGACAATTCCCCAGCCACAATAAGATGCCTTATTAACCTGCAATCTCTTTTGCAAAAGACCCCATTCTTGGCTCCTCCAGGCGCCTGAGGCTGGCTGGACATTCCATTCACAGCTCAATGTGTTCTGTCTGGGGTGGCTTCTCAACTGCCTTCTTGCCAAAGAGGTTAGTCCAGAAAGCCACTTCCTTGTCCTTCAGCTTCTGGGCTGCTTGGGTCTTGGCACCAATCTGTAGGTAGCCTTCCTTCTGGTCGTACTCTGGCCAGTGGGGCAGCCCTTCCCCATTAGGGTTTCTGAAACAGAATCAAATAGAAATGCTCCAAAGCTGCTATGTGGTCTGAATAATCCTCTGAGATATGTGAAGATGCCCAAGCTTATCTCTATCAAGAGGCTTGTATACCTCCAGAGATGGGGAGCTCACTATCTCCTAGGGTGCCCTATATATTTTCAGAGAGCTCCGTCAGAGTGCTATGGTCACAAGGTCAGGAGTTTGATCACTAGAACCTTAGAAGCTGCCCCTTTGAATAGGCATGTTCTGCCCCCCCACCCTCACCAGCCGTGCTCCGTCTTTGCCACCAGCCTCACCCATTGCGAGCAAAGTTGGCCCAGAATTTCATCACCATCTTGCTAAGTCTGATCTCCTCTTCTGAGCCACCCTCTGTTAGGAAGAAGAAAAAAAGCCTTTGTTACTCAAAGTGTGGTCCATGGACCTGCAGCATCATCATCATGTACCAGCCTGGTAGAAGCACATTTTTGACCCATGCTCCACACCCATGGAGCTCCACTCTGAACTTAAGAAGATCCTGGTGGCTTTAAGTGCATTTTACCTTTGAGCATGGCTGACCTAGGGCTCAGCAATGGCATATGTGATTCCATGTGCTGGCTGCCTTTGTCTCCTGTGACCCTCACCTGCCTCCTCCCCGCTCAGGGTCACAGGCAAGGCCACACCCCAGGGTTTCCTCTACAGCAGCCCCACCTCCCAGGGTTGCTCTGCCTTGGGTCTTTTCTCCCTCCCTGGCACACACCCACAATTCATACTCTGAGAAATAACAGAGCTCAAGGCTCCTCAGGATGCACAACTGGGAGAGGCCCAGAGGCACTGGTGTATCCAGAGCAGCCACGGGGTGAGTCCCATGTGATCTGTCACTGCTGAGAGTTAAGGTTTAGAAGACAATGTGAAATGGTTCTTTTAAATGTTGTGTAATTGGCTAACACCAATTCTAATCTCACCCTCACCTTCTGAGCACTCCTGGGAGAGGGAAATTGATTGGTGGCTTCTCAACCTAGAGCAGGGTCCTGCATGTGTCCTATTGCCTGTCTTGTTGATGTCACAGGCCAGGATTCTTAGCGTCTGTGGCAGAGGGCACATGAATACTCATCCTCCCTCACCTGTTAGAGCAGGAGGAAGCTGGGGACAGCCCACTGACATTCAAACCTTGTTACAGTGAATCCTTCAGGAGACACCCCAACTATCTTGATGTCACAGGCCAGGATTCTTAGTTTCTGTGCATAGGGCATATGAATACATATCGTTCTTCACATGTGTTACAGAGGGAGAAAGCCAGGGGTTACCCGATGACATTCAACCCTGTTACAGCGAGTCAGGAAACTAAGACCAGGAAAGGACAAACTTTCTGAAGTCCACCACACCAAGACTGGAACCCAGATCTCCTAACTCCAAGCTCAGGGCCAGCAAGAAGCCATTACCTTTTAAAAATGGGGCCCCAAAGACGGAGAAGATCTCGTCCCCATGGTCTCCTATCACCGTCTTGGGTTTCAGGTCTGATGAGAAGCTTGGACGATATTGAAACTCATACATGTAAGTGGGTGCTCCAGCATCTGAGAAGACAAGGATTCATGCACAGTTCATGTGGCCAGACACACACCTGGAGGCTCCCAAGGTCTCCGGCCCTGCAGGAAACCCCCGGCTATCAGCACAGTAGAGAAACAGAGTTGCAGGAGAGCTCAGTGACGTGCTCCGGGCTGCACAGCTGGTTGAGGTGGAACCGGAATTGGAGCCAGGTGTTTGTTCAGTGAATGAATGTTGAATGAATGAATGTGGAAACCCTGGGTCAATTCATTTGAATAACTGCCTCTACAGGGACACTGGCTCAGTCACGTAAACCCTTTGCCTGCTGGCGCATTCTCACACAAGACAATCTCTCTACATCTGGTTACACGGGATGTCATTCGTTGATAGCAGACTCGTTTTCATTCGCTGGGATGACATCTCCACCCTGACAGGCGTCTTCTGTTTGTCCTAGTTTTGAGCATTTCCAGTGTTTTTCTCACCCATCTTGAGATGACTCAAGCAAATCCAAGTTGCTTGTCTGAATGTGAGGCTATTTAAATACAAACAGATGCAGCGCGTGAACAACCTGTCTCTTGTGGCTGAGGAATCTGCGGCACTCAGCGCTTTATCTCTCACTCTCCCCACCTGTCTCACTGCCTACCTGGCCTGGGAGTGTTAAGGTGTTAAGGCATTAAAGTGGCGGCAGAGAAGAGAAGGGGCTGAGCAAGGGTGACCTTGCCTCTCCCCTGCCCTGTCTCCTCCTCTGCTGTCGTCTCCCACCAGCAAAGCTCTCCTGTCCCAGCCCCAAGAAGATGCCACTTTCCTAACGATTGGCTCATTGGAGCCACAGATCCCTGCTCCTTCAGGGCTTCCTCGGGGGCCACTCAGCCCTGTGACTCAGCATTTTGCACTGGTCATGATACTCACAAAGAAGGACCCTAAGAAGGAAAGCGTAGGGACATGCCAGCCTACTGGAGAAAATTTACAGCTCCTTTCCTTTCAGGTACAGTAAGAAATTTGGAAAATAAAATAAAAGTGCTGTCCAAATTATTGGACCTCAAATTTCCATTAAGAAATTTGGAAAATGAAATTGAAACAGGAATAATAAGAAGAGACAAAAATATGCAAACACATAAAGATGAAAGTAGGTAACACTTATAATTCCGTTACCTGAGGCAAGGGCTATAAATATTTTGTATTTCCTTCTAAACATTTTCCATATCCTATATGATTTGAAAATCAATTGTAAAAATGAAATTTAAAACATCACTCACACCTCTACCACTCAGAGAACGCTTCTTTTTTATTTTAGCATATCTCTCTTTTATTTATATAAACTTGGAATATTACATATTTTTTTTGTATTTACTGTATTGATATTTTAAATTATTTTGTAGACATGGGGTTTCACTATGTTGCCCAGGCTGATGTTTAATCCTCCCGTCTTAGCCTCCAAAAGTACTGAAATTACGGGCATGAGCCACCACCTCCGGCCATCATTTCTTAACATCCTTAAATATTCATCCACAAAAGGATTTAACAATGGGAGTTCACACATCCCTAATCTCAGGCTTTACCACACATATCATTTCAATGTGAAAATGAAGAATAATCTATTTATTCATCTTTGTCAGCCTCCTTCACTGCACTATCGGCTCAGCAGGAACCGTGGTTTGGAAGAAGCCATCCTCTGTGGCTCTGTAATCCACCTGTTAAATGGCTGCTCCAAGGTCAACCAAAAGGTGCTAAAAGGAGGGTTTGACCTTGCCTTTGCCACTCAGACATTTTCCAAGGAACTCAGAGTCAACCATAGAGGAAAGAGCTTTTGTGAGTGAGAGAACTTACTGTAGGCAGCATGCTGCCCAAAACCTACTTTGCAAAAACTCTTTGGCTAAAGTGACTGATATTCATACAAGTCCTACAGTCACAACACAAGTCTTCAGCGAAAACTAGGGTACAGATTTGGGTAATGACAGGTAGGCACCATAAGAGAAGCAGAGACAGTGAGAGGACTTGTCATGAAAAACATGTAAATTAAAACAGGGTTATGTGCTTCTTTTTGGTGGGGACAAATTGGCAGCATTAACTTTCAGTCTTAGTATCCCAAAAGAGAAAGGGAGTTAAGAAATCCACATTCTTATGCACTGGAATGCAATTTTGCAATATTTGCCAAAAGTTCTAAAACATCTCTGTAGTCCAGTCAAGTTATTCACTCCTAAAAATAATCCTAAGAAAACTATTAGACACGTGGTTAGAGACTTATGGACATTAGGCTGAGCACAGTGTCAGTGTAGCATCAGAATGTGAGCAGCCAAGCTAAATGTCTAATAGGATGGGAATGCTAAAGTCAGTTTCATACAGTCATTTCACGGAATAAGGGATGTTTTGATGAGTTTGTATCAGCATTCAGAAATTCCTCACTACATAGTGTTCTATGAACGGAAGCAAAATACAAAATTGATTTTTAAAGTATATAGGACATGGAAAACCTTTAGAGGAAAACACAAAAAATTATAGCACTTGCATCCAGGTAGCGGAATTATGAGTGACACCTAGTTTCTCCTTCATGTGTTTCCATATTTTTGAAACTTTCTGCAATTTAACATATTAACTTTATATTCATAAATGGTCTTTTCATAAAAAAGAGTGAGACACAAGAAAAAGTGAAAGTTGATAAGACCTGTGTAGCCAAAAACAAAAAAACCCTGAACTGAAAGTCATGGGAAATCAGGTGAAAAACACAAGTTCAGTATTGCTCAAACCATCAGAAGATGGAGATGGGAACACCATCTATAAATCAGACGCAGAGCATGGGGCAAAGCCAAGTTTAAGAAAGAACAGATTCGACTCCGGTGGTCTTGGTTAAAAGGTTTTATCAGGACCCAGTGAAGAAGTGAGAGTTAATGAGCACCTGCACCTTCCTGTGCAAAGGTGTGTGTGGGCACCTGCTAGATCAGCTTTAGCTAGTTTTTATCATGCTTATGAGGTTCCACATTTCAAAAGCCTTCCAGCATGGTTAGAGAGAGGACATTTCCTGTCTTGCAAACTAGGTGAATGAGAGTTGGAAAAAAAAAAAAAAGAGTCCTGTGAATCTCCTCTAGCCGGCACCCAGGAGAAGAAGATGCTCCTCTCTAGGAGAGCTCATGGATCCCTAGCCTCATGCCCCACCCACACTGCCTTGGGTCAGTGATTGGCACCCAGGATAGTACACTCCTTTCTAGGTGAGCTCATGCATTCCTAACCTCACCACCCACTCACACTGCCTTGGGTCAGTGGTAGAAGGTCCTGCATAGACCCTGCTAGCCCTCTGGCTGCCTGTTCCTACACACACCAAGATGCACAAAAGCCAGCCTCAGACATTGCCTTCCTCCAGAACACCAACCCGACACCTGCCACAGTTCCTCCTTTTGGCCTTCTTGGTCCTGGACAACTCTCTGGTTCCTGTGCAGAGCTCCCACTCTTTCCCCAGCTCCAATACTTAACGAACTTGTTGGCAACAAGCTTGGACCTTAAAAAACCTTCCACAATTCATCTTTCAATATTTGTCCTACAGCAGCCCTACGTCCCACGATAGCTCCAGGCATGGAGCCCTTGCAGCAGATGCTGTCAGTGTCTCACCCATATCCCCTATTTCTGGGCATGCCAGCCTGACTTCCACCACCAGCATCTGCAGCTCCCGGCCTGAGGCCTTTGTCTGGTCACAGGAGACTAGCCTGCCCTTGTGTTTAGCAGGTCAAAGTCACAGGGAATTAACAACTCCTTGGACCACCCTTCAACCAATGACAAGTGGAAGCTGGTGGATAAATACTCCGGCTCCCTTGCTGCTCAGATGGGAAGCACCTGAGCACTGTCTTCTCCATGTTTCCTTGATTTTCCCAGGTCCAGCTGTCCACAGTGGATACTCCCTTGGCAATGCATCATGGATTGGATTCCATCTCTTTCCTCTCTCACTTTCCCACTTCCCCACTGCTGTTATCTGGGATCATCATCTTACAAAACCACTTGCCTCTGGATTTTTTTTCTCAGTCTGCTACAGGCATAAACCAAAATAGGACAGCATCTCACCCCATGCCATATGGAATCAGCCTTTGAGGCCTAACCCTTGGCTGTTTCCATGTCTGTCTATGCTGGGAGGTAGGCGGGTCAGATACAGAAGTTGGTGTGGTTCGTGTCCCTCCTCTGTTCGACTTCTGGGACTCACCTCTGTGGTTCCGGGCCACAATCACAGACGGGACACCCAACATCACATCCCCCACCAAGTCCAGGACCAGGTCTTTCTTTTTGACAGGGTCATCTGTTCCTCCTAAGTACTTCTCCATGGCTTCTGGAATGAGTTCCTTAGGAATTTTCTGAAATAGATCAATAAAGTGACCATCACTTCCTGGTGAGCGATGCAGCATCTCCAGCCCACCAGGAAGGCTTGCCTCAATGGTGAACCTCACGAGTCCTGTGCAACTCCTCCCTCAGTCAAGGGTGGGAAGTGAAGTGGGAAAGGTGGAGAGGTGGAGAAACCCTGAAGCCCCAGTCTTCATTCTGCCATTTAATTGTTCTCTGATTTGGGGCAAGTCCTTGTCCCTCTTTGGGTCTCAGACAATTCCATGATTCCTCCACTCTTACAACACTGGGATACGAGTTCCACAAGAGTGACATGGCTGTCTTCTGGTCCAGTTTCCCTTCGGAGAGTGGAAAGCCCATCAACTGTTTAAAAAGAAAAAGTTAAGCATTTAGGGATTTAGGGATCATTGGGAATTAATGAGAAGAACCAAACTGACCAACAAATCAAGCCAATGCAGTCTGAGGTTTTCTAATTTTGTTGGGCTTTCAGGGACATGGGTCTTTACTGAACAGGCAAAATCAATGAATCAAATGGGCTTATATCCAGAAACTCAAGCATTGCCAAGATTACAAAAAAAAAAAAATTGGAGGAGCTGTGCCAGTGTTTTGCAGTGTGTGTGTGTGTGTGTGTGTGTGTCAGGCTGGCATCCTTACAGTGGTCAGTGATACGGAGAGGGAAGATTTCTGCCAGGCTAGTGTGGAATAGAGAGTTCCAGGAAGAGGACGGAAACCTCCCAAGTACCACCACGTGTCACAGATGACACTGAAAGCCCCAGATCCTGCCTTCATGGCTTCACAGTTATTTTCTCTACTGGCCCTCCCAGCACAGACGCTTCAGGATTCTTCAATAGGAAGACAATCAGGGAGTGTGGGAAAAGGGGATTCCAGGGCGCTGACACCCGGTGGCAACTGTGCCCTCTTGGAGTAGGTTTCCATGAAAATGTTAGTCCTGCTGAAGGTAACAGGTGCTTGGGACTAAGTGGGGATTGGAGAGGGAAGCACTCCTGGGCCCAGAGGTGGGAGGGCTCATGGAGGCTTGAGTCCCTCCAAGAGGCCTGCGCCTTCTCACCATTGGAAGAATCCAACCAAACTCCTGCTTGTTGATTCCGATCATGTAGGGAACAGGATGGAATTTCCTTTCAGCTTGCAGCTCCTCAGGTGTTTTCGGCAGCACAACCCCGTCAATCACCGTGGGCAACAACGTGTGACTCTGGGGGAGAGAGCAGCGCAGAATCTGTGATTTCCTCCCTGGTCACACCCTCCCTGATTCCGCCTGTCTGAGGGTGAGATCAACACCACAGACGCGTGGCCACAGGCCACGGCTACACGCTCGGGTTCCTAACTTCCGGAGGTAGGTGTGTGAGACCCAGGGTAGAACTTCAGGCAGAGGCTGGCAGTGATCAGGTGATGGGGAGAGGAAGAAGCCTTCACTCCGTTTGAAATACGTGTATTATCTATATAAAATGACATGTGTATATATTTCAATTTGAGGTGCATGCATTCCTCTCTCTGCATCCACAGTTGATTTTCGGTAGTCTCAGCAGTTGTTTCTGATAAAGCTCCCACGAGTGCTGAATTAGAGAATACAGACTCATCACTCAAAGGGGAAACACTGGGTTAGGTTGTTGCAAACCTCTGGTCACATTTTCATCAACCTTCTTTTATGCGTGGGTTTCTGTGGAAAGACACTTCCACAGCTCCGTCACAGACAATGGGGGTTACCTTAGCACTTCCCATCACAGCCTCATGTATGAATCGGCCAGTTTCCTTCTCCTTTTTCTGGACGTGCTGTCTTGTGGATTTTTCAACACTGAATGCATGGCCGGCAGCACTGCAGCTCCTGCCTCGCCCAAGCTTAGCTCACACAGGCACCTTCCATGTATAAGGCACAGCACAGCCTGCTTAGCTCGGGAATGAGAGACAGAAGCGCTACTCTTGGGGGCCACTCTAAACAGTGACATCACCACAGAAAGCACAAAAGTGCAGAACACATGGCACTAAATAGACCACAAAGAGGACACTTGTTAGCATGAGAGATGAAATGAGAAGACAGAGGCTGCCTCGCAGGAGCTCAGACGGAACGCGCCCATCATGCAAATCCAACATCCCCTGCTCTGCGCCTGCCTGTGTGTGACCACCAAAGTGCCATCAGTATCGATTTTGGGGTCACAAGGACATTTCAGCAAGCAGGTGAATTTATAAATGCAGAATCCATGGTTAGTGAGGAAGAGACTGTACCTATCTATCTGTATTTAAACAAGAGCTGCTGTTGATCCATGGGTGGCTTTCAGGACCTACTGAACCCTCATCACTCAGGGAGGCTAGACTAGGACTTGATTCCCTATTAGAGAGGCAAATCATGAATAAAAGAACCAGGGATGAACTCACAGCATATTGATCCATGTCTTAATTTTAGGTTTTCTCTTTGATGAATAATTTTTTATGGTCACAGATTAGAGAGAGCCCAACTCACGTGTTCCCATCAAGGCAGCTGGTGCGTAGTTATATTTCATAGTTAGTTCAATGGTGTAGTAGTTAAGATAGAACATGGATGTTGAAACCAGATTAACTGGATCTGAAGCCTGGCCCTGCTACTTACTGGCTGAGAGTTTCACCTATTCAAGCCTGTTTTCTCATCTATGAGGTGAGTTATTGTGAGGATTAAATGGCTGAACACATGGGAAATACTCAACACAGCACCTGGTGTCTGGAAGGGCTGAATAAATGTTAGGTATTACTTGTTAGCAGGATTACTGCGAGGCCCTCTCATAGACACCAGTCCTCTGTGCCATCTTCCCAGCTTCACATCCCATGGGCTGTATTTCCTTCCTGGATATCAGATGGAACTGGACATTCTCAGGCTTTGAGACCCTATGGCTTCCGGGACTTCTGGTCTGCTCTACAAGAGCCAATTAATGACAAGCTAGTTCTGGCTGCCAGAGGGAGATGTTCTATAAAGTTGACCACACCAGCTGTACAAGAATCAGATCCTAATCCAATATGACTGACAATCCAGAACAGGATTGGGTGCAAGTCCAGCCACCTTGAGTATCTGTGCCATTCAGGCAGGGCTGCCATGGGAGGCCAGCAGGAGGAGCAGCCCTTCTGGAAGGAAGGAAATTGGCCGATTCATTTCTAAACAGTAGGAACAGCATGAGCAAAAGAACACTTGTGTCACCATGCAGGGTAAATTCCATAAACACCCAAGAGTCCTGGGCTTAGAGGGAGGCCATGGGGTAAGGGCTAGAGGGAGGGACCGGTGACACAGCCCACTTTCTGCAGTCTGGCACATAGCGGGCATTCAGGTGTGTTTTGAAGAACCAACTCCATGGGGGGAAGGGGATTTGTCTCATAAGGCAGGTCAGGCTTTTAAGAAGTTGGGGTGATGTGCTCTAACTCTGTTAAGGAAGGCTAGTCTGGCTGCACCATGAGACATGGAAATGGGGAGGGAAGGTGAAGTAGAAGAGGATAAAAGTTGAGGAGAGAGACTGGAGCACCCAGCTGGGCAGCAGCCATGCGGGAGACTGCCATCAGCAACAGTAACAAGTGATGGAAGCTGTCCACTCAGAGTTTGCAAGTGGCTTCCCTGTGTGGCCATGACCTTGCTTGGGTCAGAAAACTCAGGGAATCCTCCACTCTTCTCCCTTTCTCACCCCTTGCATCCTGTCCATCTGCAAATCCCCTCAGCATTCCTTCAAAGATATCCAGACTCCAACCACTTCTCCCACCCCCACTGCTACAGCCCTGTCTAAGCAGCCAGGAGCCCTTGCCTGGATCAAGGCAGTGCAGTGCCCACCCGGCTGGCCAGCTGCATCTGCACTGTTCCTCTCCTACAGTCTATCTGGACACCGCAGGCAGGGACCTTTGTGAAATCTAAGATCATGTGACTCCTCTTTTCACAACCTCCAAAAGCTTCTCGTCTTGCTCTGAATCCAAATTCAACTCCTCTAAAATTATCACTTTCCCACCTCCTACTACCTCTTCAGCCTTAAGTCAGTCTGTCCCCACCCTCGGTTCTCCTCAGCCAGACTGGCCATTCCGTCAAGGTCTTTGCAGTGGCTGCTCCCTCTGCCTGGAATAGGCTTCTCCAGGTCTCCTGACAGCTGGCTTCCCACCTCTTCCAGAGCTTGTCTCAAATGCCACCTTCTCACTGAGCCATTCCCTGACCCTGCTGCTTTATTCAAACCACCTGCAAACTATATCCTAATGCTGTACACCATCAAACAGAACACATACTCAATTTGCTTTTTTAGTGCACTGTCCCTGCACTGCAATGGAAGGTCCCAAGAGGGCAGGGAATCTTTCTTGTTTCACTCCTATATCCCCAGCTCCTAACCAGGTCCAGGCACATAGGAAGTGCTTATTAAGTCTTTGCTGAATGAATCTCATGTACTCTGCCCAAGACCATTGAGGAGAGTGCTGTGACCTCCAGGGAGGCAGCAGAGAGGACAGGATTGTAAGATGCCACAGAGGTGATGTCACAACAAACTGTCAACCCATTGGGAGGGGGGATGGGGTGAGGAGATCAGGAGGATACTGTTGGAGCTTCCCGTGTGCTGGGATGATGGGGGTGTCCTCGGTCTGAGATTTAGGCTTCCCCACTCCATGGCTAGTCATCCTTGTTATCTCTGCCTCCTGATGGTGGAAAGTTCTGGTTCAGCCTCCTCTCATAATGCCATTTTGGGGAGCAGAAAGTTTAAAAAAGAAGCGGAATGGGAAGAGCCCAGGGTGCATATAGGTGATGCCTGGGAGCACCGGACTGGAATCAGGAAAATGGGTTCCAGGCCTGCCACTAGTCCTCCTGGCTGTGTTACCCAGGCAAGTCACTGCCCGCTCTGGGCCTTAGCAACAAACACACAGGAGTTACTATAATACCCAGGATTCTTTCATTCATAGTTAATTGGAGCTTAAAGGTGCTAAGACTCAAAACCTGCAATCAAGGAACAGAAGATCCTTACCTCTCTGGGATCTCCAAGTAAGTCCACAGATAAGAATTTCTGTGAAGATAAAAGCAGAGGATGTGGGTGGGAGGCTTCCCAGGAAACACTGATCTGGGTGAGCGGGGCAGCAGGGGTGTCAGGTTCTCCCTCCTGGCGCCGAGCTGGCTGGGCCAAGAGGAAGTGGGCAGACTCTGGCTCTACTTGACCTGAGCACAGGGCAAAGGCATAGAAGGGAGGGGTGGGCACCAGCACAGGAAGGACAGGCTGGGGACTTTGAGCCAAGTTTGATAAAGCTCTGGAGAGGATGCCCACTGAGGCTGCCCAGCCCGCAGTCCTCTCCCATTCTTGTTCCTCTGGGAAGAACACTCAAATTCTCCTTCAGAGACCTCCTTCTTTCCCCATCATTCCATGAATTTAGGCATCCATATGTGAGCTGGGGTGCTCCATCTCCCTGAACACTGATATTAGTTCAGGGATGGGTATATACCCATGTCATTCCAATAGAGCTTTCCCCAAAACTTTTACAGGAATTGTTTAGAAAGAGGGCTTCCAGGCAGATAGGATATAAGTCTAGAGTGCTATTGGCTTTAACCTTCCCAGAAGACATATCTGCCTAAAAGTGAAGCCAACACAGAGTTGTGAAAAGCTGAAGGATAGAGAATGTAGATTCTCAATAAAATCCTATGATCATCTGGATCCAGCCATGCCTGAAGCCATCAACTCCTGGATTTTTCAGTTAACATGGGGATGCTATTGCCGCACATTCCTTTTTCTGTTCAAGGCACCTTGGGGGCATTTTCTCATCTCCCATTAGAAAGCTCTGACTCATACAAGCTCATTGAAACTCATCTTACCACATGCTTCTCTTTGGTGTGTGTTCACCAAGATTGCAGTGATTGTAGTGTTGCACTGTAGCTCAAAGGTCTAACTTGTGCACAGCAAGTGACCAGTGTAAGTCTGTTCATTAAGAATTATAGTCCCACTAGCCAGGAGTGTGTGTGTGTGTGTGTGTGTGTGTGTGTGTGTGTTTCTGTGTATGTCCGTGTGTGTGGGATTGTCTTTGTGTTTATTTGTGTGTTTGTCTGTGTTTGTCTCTGTGTGGGTGTGTGTGTCTGTGAGTGTGTCTGAGTGTGTGTCTGTGTGTTTCTGTGTGTGTGTCTGCCTGTGTGTCTGCATATGTGTGTACTGGAGGCAGTGGGTAATCATGGAAACACTTCCACAAGATCTCAGAAAATCTCAAAAGCATGTCCTAGAATCTTAGGGCTGGAATTTCCCGAACTCCCAACTCTTCTTTTGTGAGCTGGGTCCTCTAATGCCACATGCAGAACTGCTAAGTATTTGCCTCCTTCCAGGCACTAGAAAACAGTTGTGTTTTCATTCCTTGAACACTTTGGTCATTTAGAGCCTGAACCAAGATCTAAGCCCCAAGACTGCATTGGGCTCAATCCTTGGAAACACAAGCAGAGTCCAGTAATAGTGGCTGGCCCTGGGACTCCGGAGCAGCCTCAGGTCCCAGGACAGAATCTGTAGATCAGGCTACTCCTGAGCTTGGCATTCACACCCTTCCCCTTTAAGAGGAATAATTTCCAACGGCCCTGGGTGCTGTGACCTCTGGGTGCTTGTCCTGCTGGGCTTCCCTGTGATGAGAGACTGCCATGGCCATCCATCAATCCTACATGTCCCCAAGTCCTAATATGTGAGGATGCAGGAGTGGCAGAAGATACTCTAGACCCTCCCGTGTCGGTTCTGAGTCCCACAGTGTTGCCTCTGTGACTAATTTGAACTGTGACATGGGCCAATGACAAAATTTCTCTGTCTCTGTTACCACTATTAAAACAGGCACAATGACCTCAAAGTTGAATTTCTCAAGAAAGATAAGGTGGAGTCAGGGTTAAAGGCATGAAATCCCAGATTCCTCTGTCTGGTTTCAAACCCTGGCTCCTCCACCTTCTCTGTGAAGCATCCTTGATAACTATAATGAATGTGTCCCCCTCTGTGCTGACACCCTACTCAACCTGCGAAGTATATGAATGTGTTTCTGCTTGGATAGTTCCTTGTGTGCAGAGACTATGTCCAATTCATGTCTGTATCACTATCTCTAATACTCACCCCTACATACTCGGCATGAATGGATACATAGATGGAGTTGGTCAATACATGGAGTAAGTTGAATAGGATGGATACATGAATAGATGGGTGAAAACGAGCAGACAGATGATAACTGGATTGTTGGTTTTGGAGTTTCATCACCCCAGAAAATGGGTGACAGAGTGCAGATATAAGGTGGCTGGATGATGCATAAATGGTGGACGGACTGAAAATAGATAAATAAAAGTTGCAAACGGGTTGATATTAGATTGATAAAATGATATCAGTGAATTGGATGGATTGGTGAAAACATAGATGGATAAGAAGATCATACACAGAAGGATTAATGAATGAGTGGAGAGATGAGTATCCTAGGATAGCAATTGAGTCAGTCTCAGAACATCTAGAAAATTGGACCACCACCAGGCCTGATGCAAACAGTTTCTAAGTTAAATTGTGACATCTTTCTGAAAACCTTTCAGCTTAATATCTTCATCCTCTGAATTCAGGATGACAGTGGCCCCTGGGAATAGGTAATGTTTAATTTCTCAAAAATACGTCTGAAAACAAGAATGGCAAAATATTAAATTTAGGTCAGTCTTGGGGACTGTGACACAATTTTTATCATGTTAGTTTTAGACTTTTTTTATTTTTTACATTTATAATATTTTATAATAAAAAAGGACAAATCAGATTCCCCATTTAGATACTGTGACTCATTAAAGGGGAGACACTGTCCCAGGTAACTGCCCCAGGGCAAGAGGAGAGCTGAAGTGAAGACGTCTAGGTCCAAGTTTACAGGTTGGGGCTACGGCAACAGGCACACCTACCATTTTCAATGTCGTGTCCAAGAGCTCCTCTTCCGACTTCTGTCGCAGGCAGTGAACCATGACAGCTGAGGTGGTGGTTTTACACCCAGCAGTGGTAGCAATTTTCTGCAAAGATCACAGGCAATGACAGAGTTCTAGAGCAAAATCCCTTCCCTCCATGAATGTGGAGAGATGTGTTCTATCCCAAGCCCAACTCGTAAAGGGGGCAGGGGGCAGCAGAAGATACTCTAGACCTGCAGCTGTGGGCTCTGGGTCCCACGGAGCATTGCCTGTTATTAACGTTAATTGTGATATGAGCTAATTACTCAGTCTCTCATCTCTGCCACCCTATCTCTATTGAAATGGACATAATGATCACAAGCTGAACGTGTGAAGCCAGGCGAGGTGGAGCTGAGGTTGAGGTGATGGAAACTTGAATTTACTTCTCTGCTGGCTGTTCCACTTACCAGTCACTTGGCCACAGGCATTCCACCTGATTTCTCTGGGCGTTGGTTTCTCCACCCATGGGTGGGAATAATGACTGCACCTACCTCATGAGTTAATACATGTGGGAGAGTGCCATGTCTCCCATGCAATAAAACACGTGCAGAATCTCGGGAGGCCTAGATAAGATGATTCACACAGAGACACTTCAGGAAGTAGCGAATGTGATTCACAGGTGAGTTCTGAAGAAAAGCAGGGTGTCGTCCCTTGCAAGGCATAGACGGGGCTTCTCAGCTGAGTGAGGTGTCTGTGGCACAGCTAGGAGTTTCCACCTGCACACTTCTGTACTGGAGTCCCAGGCAATAATCAAGCACTACTCCTTAGGGCACAGGACAGCAATGTGCCCATCAAAGGCCAAATAGTAAATATTTGAGGCTTTGTGGATCACGTGGTCTCTGCTGCAACTTCTCAACCCTGCTGTTGGCATGAAACGCAGCCATAGACACAGGGCCAATGAATGGGTGTCACTATGTTCCAGGAAAACTTCCTTTATGGACACCGAAACTTGAATTCCATATAATTTCATGGTGCATGAAATAGTGTTCTTCTTTTGATTCCTTTTGATCATTTAAAAATTTAAAAACGCATCCTTAGCTCAAAGGCCATGCAGCATAGACACAGATTTGGCTCTGGGCCAAGGTCTGCACATCTTTGTCCTATATCAAGCCACGGAGCAACGCAATTAACGCACCAAGAACCTTTTTCCATCTTTAAAAAAATGTGAAAATAAATAAAAAGTAAAAAAAAATTAAAAAGTTCTGCTGAGGGAGAGTCTCCCTTCTGCCTGTCCTGGGGATTGGGGTCCGTCTGCCCAGCACTATCTGGTTTCTTACTTTTCTAAAGTTTAGGGACATCCAAGCAAATATGGGACAGTGAGCCTCTCTCCTAAGTAACTTGGAATGGGGGCGGAGAGCTGCTAATGTAAAAACGCTAGTTTTTCGCAACAGAAAATACAACATGACAGCTTTCTGCAACCAAAGGTGAGTCCTTAAGCTCAGGGGCAGAGCGGGTGCTCATGCAGACTGGAAGCAAAGTGCAGCCAGAGAAACGGGCACAGAGGGAGACCAGGCAGGCTCCACGGTGGGGGGGCCCAGGCGAGTGTGCGTGGCCCCACAGCCCTGTGCAGGATCTGGGGCAGAATCAAGGCCCAGGGTGGTTCTCGAACAAATAAACAGGAACACGGAGAAGTAGAGGGTGAGAGAGAAAGGAAAAAAAAAAAACAGACAGACGAGGGATGGGCAGTGGGGTGGGGATAAGAATAACAGAGCCTAGGACTCTCATTTTGTAATTTCTGCTTCTTGTTTTTTCGCAAAGCCAAGCCTCATCCCAGGCCTCTATTTCACTGAAAAATAATTTCTCCCTTTAAAAGAAGATTTTGAGACAAGGTGTTGCTTTGTTGCCTAGGCTGGAGTCCTGTGGTGCAAACACATCTCACTGCAGCCTAGACCTCCTGGGCTCAGGCAATCCTCCAACTTCAGCCTCCCATGTAGATGGGCCCACAGGCTTGCACCAACATGCCCAGCTTAATTTTTTGTTTTTTTGTAGAGACAAGGTCTCACTTTGTTACTCTAGTTGGTCTCAAACTCCTGGGCTCAAGCAATCCTTCGGCCTTGGCCTCTCAAAGTGCAGGGTTTACAGGCATGAGCCACCACAGCAGGCTAATATTCCTTCTTGGCTTAAGTCTGGTCAATAGGCAACTGTTGCTTATAACCAATGAATTCTTAAAAAATTCTCAAAAGTTCTAAAAATTCTTGGCATCCCCATTTTCTGTCCTCCTATGTATCAGCCCTTTAAGTTCGGACGCTTTCCCCAAACAAGCTCTCAAATCTACCGAAATCCTCCACGCCACTGGCTCCAGGGGGCGCTCCTCAGCCTAGGTCTGGATTCCTATTGATCACCTCTTCCTTTGGCTTCCAACCGCTCTCCAGATGATGACAAAATCCTTGCCAGGGTCCTGTGTGGCATAGCCCCTGCCAATGTCCCCGCCCTCAACATTTGCCACGCTCCCCTGGTCTCTCTGCTCTGGCCCCGTGAGCCATCTCTCTCTCTCACTCATGGTGGGGATGCGTCCTCCTGCCACAGGACACCTGCACGTGCTGCTCCCCTCCGTGGACATTCTTTGCTCCTGACTCACTATCCAGTTTTCCAGCAAGCCTTGCCTGGTAACCTCCTCCTGCCCCGGGACTCAATGCTTCCTTTAGATTCTGCTGTGGCATCAAGTACCTCTCCTCCACTGCTCTTGCCATAAGTGATGCTTTCTAATCATGTGATTCTGTAACTATTCATCTATTCCCTACATTACAGTGGAGGCCTGGGGAGGTGCTAGGTGTCTGGCCAGGATGCAGAGCCACGTAGACCATGTAGTGTCTATGTCCCCTCCACATGGACATCTGGCTTTGAGCCAAACAATGTCCCCTGCCTACCTCTTGCTTTTACCTTCACTTATTCACCTAGTTTTGGGGGAGCAAATGAATGAATGAGTGAATTCTCCAGGGGCCAACTCTGGTTATAAGGTGCTCAGTGTGAAACTGCTCCAAGCCTACATCCCACAAGTGGGTCCACAGAAATCAGACCCTGAGAGACACAAAACAGACCCTGACGTGGCACCAGGCCCTGGCACATAGGAGGAGTGTGGTCACAGACAGGGCACTGTATTGGCTGTCTAGGGACTTGAGCTGGAGTCCTGGCTCTGCTCTGATCACCTGCTGCCCTTGGCAAATCCCTCCCAAGTCCTGTGTTGGTTTGTCTGGTTGTGAAAACGGGAGGCTGATCAAGGTGTCTCCTTGCCCTTCCTGCTCAGCCTTTGGCACTTCAGTGATTCTAGGAGAACATCAGCTAGAACCCACAGGAAGAGTTACCCCTGTGAATTCAGGAGCACAGAGACAAAAGGGTGGGGATCTCCAGCAGGAGACCTACCTCAGCCAGGGGCTTGATGTCGCCTTTCTCCACCAGAACATCAGTGAGGGCCACACCACTCTCAGAAATAGCCCGGTGGAAGAGGTTCTTGGCCAATGGAGAGAAAACCTGGGAGCAGAATGGAGGGGAGGAGAATTCATGCTCAGGGGTAGGGTCAGTGACGAGCTCACTCTTCTGGGCTACATCCAACCACCTCTGCCCTGGCCTGTTCCCCAGATACCCTGGGACTCAGTGGACACAACAGCTCCTCACCTGGCTTGGCCTTCTTGCTAGGCTCACCTCACACCCAAGAGAACCTCACACCCAAGAGAACCTCCCACCCAAGAGAAACTGGGCTGGCTTGCTTGCCAAGATCACTTCCCACCTGGCCACCCAAGGGAACCTCAGCAGGATCAGGACAGAGCACAGGGCAGGGACATAACTGGAGGTGTGGTCACAGCCAAGCCTAACCAACAAACGTATTGGAAAGGCAGCTTAGAATCTCCTAGCCACAACTTCCAATTCAGCATCTCCATGACTCAGAGCTTCTCCTAAAAAATGATCCCAGAGGCACACAAAGATTTCTGAGAATGCTCCTGCTGTTTACAATGGTACACAGTGGACATAATTCACAATTCCAGTATTATAAGATTGGGCAAATTAGTGGTTTCTCTTTCTCCTCATGGAATACTGTCCACTGTAAAAGATACCATTAAGGGAGAGCACTTAATATTTAGTAAAATATTTGTGTTGTATTGTAATAATCAGGAAAGTACTTTAGTTTAAAAAAGACAAGGATGGATTATAGATGATAGGTGGATGGACGGATAGATAAATAGATAGATACAAAGTCATAGAAACAAGACTAGAAAAATCCATGTCAAAGTCAGCATAGTGACTACCCTTGGGTTGTGGGATGGTGAATGGCTTTTATTTTTCTTGGGCTTATCTGTGTTTTTCCTTTTTCCATACTTTCAAAAGTATAAAAATGTTTTCCCTTGAGTAGTCAACTGCAAAACCAATACAGGAGTGAAGAATACCATAGTGGGACTGACCCTCTGCCCACCTCAAGGCAGCTGCAGGGCTTCCTACAGCTCCTGGCACCTTCTCATCTGGTTTTTCATCCCAGCTCCCCTGGTGTCTCCTGCACCCAGTCCCCCACCCCAGCAGGACCTCTCACAGCCCCAGGTTGTGTCTGTGTCCCCCATCCCCAGCTCCATCCCTCCTTCCTCTCACCCACTGGGACCCTCAGTCACAGAGACTGTTGCCCTCTTCTTGGGCATGGACCAGTCATCAGACCACCCAAGGGAAAGCCCCAGACTATTCACAGTGTCCATGTCCCCTCCACACGTAGTTCTGGCTTGACCCAAACAATGACCTCTGTCCACCACTGCCTGTGCCTGCCCTACTCATAATTTATGACTACTCCTGCTTATGCAGAGAAAAGAATGATAAAATGAGTGGAAAGAGAGAGATAGAACTCAACCAAGCTAGAAGAGGACAATGCCACCATTGCAGGCTGCAACTGGAGATTCTTATGGCCCCAGGAGACTAAACTGAGCTCTGAGCTTCCTGGGGGCCAAGGAGAGCTTGGTCTTCAGCTCTCCATCCTCTGATGTTAATCAGTGGATAGGGTCAGTCCTGAGCCCAGGTATTGTAAGCAGAGGTATCCATAGCCAGATTGACAGGTCTCCAAGAGGTTCCATCAGCATCACATCAAACGTGGGGTTGGGGCTGGTGCCAGGATCACTTACAAGAACAGAGACACTTTCTGCTCCCGCTGACTCTCCAAAGATAGTCACAGAGCCTGGGTTCCCACCGAAGCTGGCAATGTTGTCCTGGACCCAGTGCAGGGCGGCCAGCTGGTCCAGGTGACCCCAGTTCCCCCTGCTGTGTTCATCCCCTGTGCTGTGAGAAAGAAAACAGGTTGAGGGTGGGGAGCAGAGATGTCATGGCAGGACCTTCAGGACCACAGATGGGGCTGGGGGGCTCTCACTGAGCCTTTCACATAAGACTGGGCTTCAGCATCTCTGAGACCCTGCCTTGCATTCCTACAGCACTGCTGTGGTGTATGATTCCACATACATTCAACTGACAACTATTTACTGATCATCTACTATATGCCTGGCACTGTCCTATAAGCTGGAGCACATATGAGAGCAAAACAGACAAAACCTGAGCTCACCCTACAAATCACAACCCTGAGCTCACCCTACAAATCACAACACTGAGCTCACACTACAAATCATAAGCAGATAAACAGATACATAGAGAGAATATAATGAGGTCAGGTAGTGAAAGTGCATTGAGGAAAACACAATGGGGTAAAGGAAAAACAGGGATGGGACAGGCGGTGCCATTTCAGATCGCAACCAGGGAAGGCCTTTTGGAGGCAGCGGCATTTGAGGACTTGGAGCCAAAGACCTTCATCAAACAAGCACAAGGAGCACGTGAGCCTTGCAAATAACCAAAGAAAGGAATTCCAGGCAAAAGAAAAAGTAAGCGCACGGGCACTGGGGCTCATGGGAAGAAAGTGTGAGTGCAGAGGTGCAGCTAGACAGGGCGCTGGGGCCCCGGCAAGGACTTCGGCTGTCATCATAGGGGACATGGGAAGCCCCCGCAGGGCTTTGAGCAGAGGCATCACGTGATTCAATGCACATGTTAAGTGATCACTCTGACTACTGTGCAGCTCAGCCCCAGCATAAAAGTAGCAGGGATCTGAAACTGAGTGTTAGGCTTATAATCCAGGCAAGAGACAGAAGACTTCTGGGGTAGGAGCCCGGGAGGAGGTGCAAAGTTGTAGATTCTGAGTGGATTCTGAAGGTGGAGCCACGAGGTTTGTGAGAAAAGAGAGTCCAGGCTTCCCAAGAGACCTTCTCTGGAACCCCTGAGAGGATGGGGCAGCAGCTGAGTGAAGGCGCCATGGGAGGAGGAGGGGGTCTCTGCTGGGAAGGGAGTCAAGGATTCAGCTGGTCCCTGGGAAGAGTGGAGCACCCTTTAAAAAGACAGTGAGTGATGCCTGTGGGCTTCAAAGGAGAGGTGGGCTGGAAACGGGGGCTCTGGGCTGTTCCCTGGGATCACTGGGAGTTAGTAGAGAGGGAGAGGGAGACAAGAGAGGCCTGTGGACAGGGAGGTGGAGGCACCAGGAAAGGGCTGGGAAGGAAGCATTTCACAGAGGCTCAGTGGCCATCGGCTGCTGCTGGGAGGGCCTGTGTGGTTGGGTGGAGAGCAGTGGCGGTCACTGGTGACCACAATGAGCAGTTGAGTGGTGTGGTCAGGAACAAACGTGACGGGCATGGGTGGAGGTGACACACAGAGGAGAGGAAGTGGAGAGAGATCATGAGGCAGCTTTATTGTAACGGGGAGCAGAGATACAGGCTGTGGCCGAAGGGGATGTGGAGTCCCATGAAGGTGATATGGCCAAGACTGGCCTGGGGCGCCCTACTGATGGGTAGGCCAGAAGCCATCCTTCATCTCCCTAGGTCTTCCCATCAGTGAGTGGAATCCCTCCCACAGCCCTCCCATCACTCGCTCAGGTTTGGGGTTCTGGGGTGGACACACTTAGAAAAGGTTCATGGTAATTCCATCCTGCAGGAGTAATTGCACCTGTCCCCGTGGAAATCTGATGGGGAAGACTCCATCCTTGCTTCCAGCACTTGCCAGATTTCAAGCATGAAGTGGGTGAGTGGACCCCAACACTCCTCCAGGAAGGGACAGATGCTCCCACACCCCACCATCTGCAGCCCCCATTTCTTCACCCACACATGCACTGAGCTCCCTCTGTGACTCTGCCTCCTTTCCCATGAGAAGTCACGTGTCACCCTTCAGTGGCTGTGCCGCCTGCTAAGTGCCATGACAGAGAAATGCAATGTGTGAAAGCAACATAGGTGAAGAAGAGATGAGTCTTTCAGAGGAAGTAACTGGGGGCTGGATCTTGCAGGATGAAGAGGAGTTCATCAGGTAGAGTAGGCATTCCAGGCAGAGGGAACAGCACATGCAAAAGCTCAGAGGCAAGTGGATGAGTGTGGCTACGGAATGAGAGGGTAAGTAGTGTCCAATTATGAAGGGGGTTGGATGGCTTACTGTGGAACCCAGCTAAGTTCCCCTGAGAGCTGACATGACCTGAGCTGAGTCCTAGTACCCTGGTGCTGGGGGACAAAGTGCAGTGAGGAGAGTCCAATTTCTTACCTGAAGAATCCCCAGATGCCAAGACGGTACTGAATCGTCACCACCACCACGTTTTCATGGGCAGCGAGGGCCAGCCCATCATAGGTTGATGCCCCGCCCAGCAACAGCCCCCCTCCGTGGATCCACACCATCACCTGGGCAGGCGGGAAGTAACAGACCAGTTACAGAGTGCAGAGCCAGGGAGCACTTAGAGGGTGTCTTGTTTGGTGACCTACCTGTAGGTCACAACTGAAGGAGGATGTTACCCAAAGTTCACCAGTGCCCAGCAAGGTTGCAAAAGGCAGTCTCTCTCCTCTATAATTCTCCCAACTGGGGCCCAAGCCACCACCCGACTGCACACACCCTGGCTGCCCCTTCTTACTATCCAGCCTCCAGTGCTCCTCCCCAGGCTCTTCATCATCACGGGCATAGCAAAGGCTAAGGATGTGTTGGTCTCCCCCTCACTTCTATCACCCTCAAGCCTGGACTGGGCATGCAGCTCAGCGTACCCACGGGACAGCCCTTGTATCTCAGCTTCATCTCAGTTAACTCTCTCGTGGTGAATTAAACTTCTCTGTGCATTGGTGATTGTCTTGAGAAGCACACACGCCTGTGATGGTGTCTCTTCCTCAAATGCCTCCTTTATGCCTCTGCATCCCCAAATCCTATCCACCCTGCAGATCCCAGGGTGCCTTCAATCAGTGGAGGGGTGCCACCCCTCCAGGATGCCTTCAATCAATGGACTAATGCTATCTGAGAACTTACTATGTACCAGGGACTGTGCTAATACCTGGGGATGAGAGTGGATACAATTCCTAATGCATGGTTCTCACATTTTAAAAGTCCACATAGCAGGGAAGAAGTGAGAGTGGTTAAAATAATAATATTGTAATGATATTATCAATAAACCATAAAAGAACTCATAACATAAACTATGTACCAAGTGTTGTTCTAAGCATGGTAAAATAAACTATCCACTGGGTAAGTACCAATACTGTCCTATTTTCCAGGTGGGAAAATGGAAGCACTTAACCTACCCAAGGTCCTACAACTCAAAACTGGTAGAAGCAGGACTTGAACCCAGGCAATCTGGCTCCAGCGTCCACATGTTGAGCTGCACAACACACTGCAGGAACCGGCCACAGTGTAGCGAGTCCACTGTTAGTTACAGGAGTACGAGCCTGCCTCTACCTGCTGAGCCAGGGACTGAGATCAAGCTTAGTAGTCACCCTTGACTGATCACATGCGATGAATTCCATCTGGAGGAAACAGAGCCTTAGACAAGTTAAGAAACGCCCAAGACTCTCAGCTAGTCAAAGGCAAAACCAGGATTTAAACCCAGACCATGTAGTTCTAGAACCTATGGCCGTTCCTGGAGGTTTTCCTGCCTCCAGGTTCCCAGAGCCCTGTTTCTCCCACACCTCTAATGCCTGCCTGCCTCCCGGGAGGGACTGAGCGAGCATTCATCTTTTGTGAAGGCTGACCCGAGGGCTGGCCTGCAATAACCTGCTAAAGGGAGCATATGTCTCTACAGCCCAGACGGCAAGATCCTTGAAGGCAGGGGCTGTGTGGAGTGGGTTGATGTTCCTCTTTCCCCTGAAGCCCCGGGTGTAACTGTGTATATGGGGCACTGAGAACACAATAGAAGAATGAATGAATGAACGAGTGAATGAGTAAAACTCTCCCACTTCCTCTGTCTTACCAAGCACATGTAGGAAGAACTTCTAGTCCCAAGTTTGCAGACCTGCTCTCTCACTCCTGGGCACCATGCCACGGTGCCCAGGGGAGACTGGCTGGATACGACACTCTTTCTTCTTCTACCCTGGGCTGGCCTCCTTTGCCAGCACACCCTTCCCATGCTCCAACCTGCAGCTGGCAGCCTCCCCCATCTCCTGTCCTTCATTTATTTGGGAAATGCTGACTCACTGGATCATCAGCCTTTGCCAAGACAATTAGGGAAGAAATTAGGTACAACAAAATCCCAGTTATTTGGCCAAAGGCAAAAGGAAGTGCTCCTGGGATTTCCCAGGCTCCGCCCCCAACATCCATACCCAGGCAGTGAAGTTACCGCAGATGGATGTGGTGGTGCTGGAGAAAGGCCACATGCAAGCTCAATGCCCTACTCCATGTCAAAAGCACTGGTTTGAAGATCAGAAGATTTGAGCGAAAATTACCCTACTGGGTCACCTCTCTCTGGGCCTCAGTTTCTCTATCGGAAAAGGAAGAGATGGAGTGTTGCCTTTTCTCTAAGTCTCTTTCACCTCTAGCACTATTGGAAATCATGTCTTGCCCACTCTGGGCAAGATTTTTAATCTAGTAACTAAAAGTAATCATTCTCATCCTTCTATTAGAATGAGGAAACTTGGAACAACTAAGATGTACATTAAAGATGCACAGCAAACTCCCCCAGAGGCCCTGTGTCACAAGGGGAAACTGAAGTGTGGAAAAAAACCTGCTTCTTGTAGAGGCCCTGTGGTCCCTAAAACAATCCTGGCCTTTGCAGCCCCCTCCCCAAGCTGCCTTCACCCCCTTATGGTGTTGCCCAGAAGATCCGGGGAACTGGAACTGACACACCTCAATCAGGGTATCCCATGGCTTACCGGCAGCCTGCTTTTCTTGGCCAAGTCAGCAGGAGTGTAAATATTGAGGTAAAGACAGTCTTCAGAAAACTTGAGAGGTATGTTCTCCTTATGGTTGGTAAAGAGCTCGAAGAGCACCTGCCCCGCCACGGCATCTTGGGAGCACCTGGGGAGGGAGAAAGAAAACCCCTGAAACTTCAGCCACATCTAAGCCCAGATGTCTTCTGGGGCAGGGCCTTGGACTGGAGGTGGAAGACACTGGAATGGGTAGGAGGTTATCAGGGGTTTAAGGTGGGGGCGCTAGGACTCACTAAGGTCTCCTGAGACCAAGCAGAGTGTGAAGAGCTTCACACCTCTTCCCTTCCTGGAGCCTTTGGGACTCCCAGCATCAAGGAAAGGAGACAACAAATATACTAATCCTCCCTGGGAGGTGACATTTCCCGCAATAGCTCAGGGGTGAAATCTTTGTGGGACAACATCAGGAAGACTGTGCTCTAGTCCTCTCTCTGCTATGCATTTACGAGGTGACTTTGAGTGAATTCCTTTCACATTCTGGGTCCCAATCTGCCAGGTCTAAGTGAGGGGAGTGATTTCTACATGGGTCTTGCAGCCCTGACATGCCAAGATTTGACCATCAACCCATCCCAGGCAAGTGCCGAAAGAGCTCAAAGATTCAACATAGATGACCATAATAATCTAGTGAGTCCTCCCAGTGCACCAGGCACTGTTTTAAGTACCCTTTACATATTCACTCATCTAAGCTTCAGATCAGTCCCATTACATAGGTTCTATTATCTCCATGTTACAGATGACAAAACAAGCCCAGAGAGGCTAGAGAATCTGACCAACATCACATAGCCAGGAAGATCCATGCCATGTGGTGCTTATACACAAGTATATTATAAGCAACAGGTCCAGATCTCAATGTAGCAGGAGGCAGGCATCACTGCCCCCACTATGTAAATGAGGAAACTGAGGGACTCAGGCTCCAGGATGACACAGCTCTCAAGTGACAGAATCGGGGTCAGTAAAGATGACTTCTTGATTCTCATCCTGGGAAATTTCCCCACATAGCACCAAGAGCAAGGGGCATAATAATTATTAATAAAAAAGACATTCTAATGTGAAGAAAGGGAGAAAGAACTCAACCTCACTGGTATTAAGGTTAATGCACACTAAAGTGGAAAATAATATTGCGGTTATTATTATTTTGCCTATCCACTAGCCAAAATCATTTTTAAATTACTCCAAGCATTGCCGACAGTCTGCTGAAGGGAGGTTTTCATCCATTAATGGGGGGAGTGTAGTTGGAATATTTTGTGAGGGAAATTTAACAAAAGATTCTTGGATTCAGAACTGTCATTTCTGGGAACTTACCTTAAAATATTCATAAACGTGCATAAAGGTTTCACATTCCTGATGTTATATTATTAAAAACATGATATGTAACAATGACCCCAGATAGAAGCTTGGGAAAATTAATTATGCTTCAGTACCAAATGTAATGCTGTGCATTACATTTTAATATCAGGCTGTGCTATAATGGCATGGAATGATGCTCATGATATACTTATAAATGAGCAAGGCAGGGAGCCAAATTATCTGAATATAGCATTCCGTTTTAAAGGAAGAAAGAATAGAAATAGGTTAAAAAAAGAACTGGAAAACAAAAAAATTAAATGATAATACTTTGCAATCTAAAATATTGCTAGCTGGTTTTTTTTTGGGTGGTGAGATACTGTACGTGATTTCAATTTTCTTACTTTTCCTTCTCTGCATTTCCTAAAGTTTCTGTAATAAGTACATATTACATTTGCAGTCAAAAAATAAAAATAGTAAATATTATTTAAAAAAAAAAAAAAAAGCAAAGAAAAGACAAAGCCAGAGGTGGGCTGCTGGAAACCCCCCAGGTACCTGGCTGCAGAGATGAATGAGGTCTGGTTTGATGCCTGTAGGGGTCCTTGGTACACTGTGGAGGGGTAGTGAGGGCAATCAGAACCTTTGGGCTTTTCTTCCCAGCTTGACCAGGGTGACTGCACACACCTGCCATTGTTCTCCTCATGAATAGGGAGCCAGGCACACCCAAGAGCTGAGCACTTGCTGAGTGGACACCTCAGTATACTTTGCACTCACACACCTCCTGGCTCATCCCTCTCCCCAGCTATGCCAAAGTTCAAGACAGGGGAATTCATGGGATCCTTACTTCTGATCTCCCTCACCTGCTCAGCTGCTTCCTTGTTTCCAAGGCACTTATCCTGTTCTAACATATCACATCATCCATGGAATAATTTGCATGTTGTTTCTTACCTGTCTCCCTCTGCTAGAATGCAGGCTCCATGAACCTAGGGATCTTTGCTTTGTTCCCTAATAGACCCCAAGAATCCAGAACATGCCCAGCACACAGTAGGTGCTCAATAAACATGTGTTAAATAATGGACTCTAGAAAGCTGTGAGAGTTCTGGAATGTTCTTAAGGATCTACAATGATCTTAAGGATTCCAGAGGAATGTATCAGCCCATCAGGGGACTGCCTTGACTCCTTCCTTATCACATTGAGGCGAATATTCCACTGAAACATGCCAAATCCACCCCCAGCTTACATAGGAGGGTAAGAGGTGGCATTCTTCACGAAGCTCCACGGCTCTGGAGGTTGTGGTGGAGAAAACCTCAGGGGTCCAAGAGGGGGCTTGGCAAAAGGGATTCCCAGGAAAACGGCCACAGGCTGTGCAAATCCTCGTAAGCTGATGAACTTCCCCAGGACTTTACCATGCACGGTGTCCACCACAGGCGGCGAAGATGGGTGCCCTGCTGGACATGGAGAAGAAATCAGAATGCATCAGAGGCGAAATGCTGGACCAGGGTTCCAGGTGGGGTCTGCCACTTTGTAGGTGTGTGACCTTGAATAAGTCACCTAAACCCTCTAGGCCTCAGTTTCTCCTGATGTAAAATAGGGATGAGGATCACTGTCCTTCCTAACTCATTGAGCTGGTTTAAAGAGCAAATTAGAATTGGAGGCATGAAAACATTCAGCCAAAAATCAACGCAAGAAGGAGAGCTACTAGGAAAGAATAAGACATTTAGCTTTCACCTTAGAAGCTTCTGGAAACATTTATCCATTAGAATCCTGGCACTGAGCCGCGAGCTGGCTGAGAGGATGAACAAGAGTTGCCCTGTACTCTCAGAAGCACTGACTCTGGTAGGGAAGGGTCACGTATACACCTGACCCTGCAGCCGGAAGGAAGTGGCCGTGTCCTGGAAGAGGTATCCGTAAGGCAGTCCAGGAACTAGAAGAGAGGGCAAGGCCTTCTGACTGTGGGTATCATGGAGAAGCTGGAACTTGCAGTAGGGGAGGATTGAATAAGGGAAGATGAGGAGCAGGGAGTGGTACAGAGCAGAGAGAAGGAAGGGAATGTGCTGAGGCTCAGAGGCAGCAGAATGCAGAGCTTGCCTGGGGGAGGGGGCATGGCCCAAGTGCAACAGGTGGAGTCTGAGGGGAGTGGAAAATATTCCTGGAATGAGAGAACACACATCAGGGAGGGCCTAGAATACCAGTTTAAGCACTTGAGTTTTATTTAGTGGACAAATAAACAGCAGGAACCATTCCAGATAAAGGCCATGATCAGCTCAAGGAAGATTCTTCTGGTGGCCCTGGGCAGGTCTGATCCATTCTTGCAGCGCAGACAGTGCTTCCTCATTGAGCTGAAATTCATTTCCCACAGCCTCTGCATCAGTCCTGGTTCTACCTGCCATGGGACTGTGGTGGCCTGATCTCATCTGTGGCCTGTGGCCTTTCAGACACTTGATCGTGCCACCCACCCCTCTGGTCCTATCTGGCTCCAGTGATCTCAATTTTTCTAAGCTTGCCTCCTAGGAAATAATTCCCAGCCTCTTGTCCTCCCAGCTGCTCTGTTTTGGATGCAGACAAGACGTCAACACCTCCTCAAAGTGTGAGGCTAGAATAGGACAGAACAATTCAGATTTGGTACTACAGGGAATGTTCAATCACAGGGGAAACTCCTTATGCAAAGCCCAGTTACACAACAGCATCCATGTCTCATCTTATTAACAGCCAACCGCATAATGCCAGTATTTAGCTTGTTTTCTTTTATTGTTGTTACTAATTACAAATAACTGTGAGATGAAGCATATTTATTGACATAGCATTGGGTGGTGGCATTAGAGGTGACCTGTTACCTTGATGATTTCCACGTGATCTGCACTGTATGGAATTTCTGGTCTTCATCTGAAATCCTCCCCACCACATGTTAATTACTTTAAACTTTTAAATAAAAAAAGAAAAGATATATGAAAAAATATGATGATGTCTAAAGGTATTTTGAAAGACTTGGAGACTAGACACAGTTGCTCACCCCTGTAATCCCAGCACTTTGGGAGGCCAAGGCAGGCAGATCACTTGAAGTCAGGAGTTCAAGACAAGCTTGGCCAACATGGTGAAACCCCTCTACTAAAAATACAAACATTAGCCTGCGTAGTAGAGTGTGCCTGTAATCCTGGCTCCTTGGGAGGCTGAGGCAGGAGAATCGCTTGAACCTGGGAGGCGGCAGTTGCAGTGAGCCAAGATCGCACCACTGCACTCCAGCCTGGGTGACAAAGCTAGATTCCGTCCAAAAAAAAAAAAAGACTCGGTCCCTGACCAGATGCAGAGGGCAAGGAAGGGAAAGAAGACCAAAGAGCTGACTTGTGATGCTGGGTCCCGGTTTAGACCGGCTCAGTGGAGATGTCAGTGAGATATCCTGGCAAGATAGTGCCACAGGACGAGCACACTGGAAGACTGGAAGGAAGCCTGGAGAAGAAGCAAGGAAGGATCTTCTCCTAGACGGTGATGGCACACACCATGGATGCGTATGGCTTCATCAAAGATGCCAGTGTGAGAGAGAGGTAAGGAAAAAAAAACCAATGATCAAACACAGGGACCACTACAGCCAAGAAAGAAGATCCATCAGAGTGGGAACAACAGAACCTCCTGGTGTCCTGGAAGCCCAGGGAGGAAAAGGGCGAGGTGCCAGCTACAAGTGCTGAGGGCTTCAGAGAGGTGGAGAAGGGACAAGGCTGAGTGGAAACCACTGGGCTGGCCTTTCTCAGCTCAGGATTCCCTTCAACAACATTGTATAGATGGCAGCCAGATTGCCAAGGGTGAAAAAGTGGGTGAATGAGGGGAGGCAGAAACAAGAATGGGAACAAGAGCAGTTGCTGCTGATGCGATATGAAACATGAACCTGCGGGCGCCTACTCCATGCCAGGCATGCATTCCAGTTTGTTTAAATGCATCTTTAAAAAAGCCTTGCTGGGTAGGCATCAATATTCCCATTTTACAGAGGAGGAAATCGGGGAAGTGGAAGCAGCCGGTATGAACTTCCTAAGGAAGGAAATGGATGGCATGGCCAGGAGTAACCAGAGGTAAAGGAATATTCAGCTCCAAATAGGGTTCCTCTCTTCCTCTGCCATTACACACAGTTCAGGGCTCTCCCAGTGTCAGGCTGCCAGAAGGAGGACAGGGTGCAGACGGGGCCTGGGCTGTCAGGATTACGACCCAGAGACAGACCCAGGCAGGATTTCCCAGTTGACCTTAGGCAAGTACATTTCCCTGTGTGAGTTTCAGTTTCTCCGTCTATAAAATGGCCCTGGGGGTATTAAGAGGCCCCTCCCTGCACCCCTGAATGTACCATGCGTTTTGCTTTCTGTATTCTGATGCTCTGACATCCGAGGCCTTGCTGACCTTGGATGAACTGTCCCTCCCAGGGTCCCGCCAACCCAGAGCCCACACCCCAACCACCTCTGTGATCCAGTTGCCATGCTCTGGCCACTACCCACCTGCCCTAATCACGCCAGGGCCAGGTACCAGACAACTAGGGACAGCCCCTGTGCCCCAGAGCCCCCTGACTTATCGCAATTCACCAGTCCTCAGCCTGCCTGCCCTGCCTTGCCTCTTCTTTCTAATGGAAGCCACAGTAAAAGCCCCTTGGCCTCAGATCTGCCCCTGCCCCCTCCCCCTGCTCTGCTGCTTTCCCTTGTGCCTCATCCCCCACCTCACTGGTGTCCCCTCCTTTTGGGAACATTCGTAAGAAATTGTCTTTTTAATGGCAAGAGGTCCTGATATAGTGGCCTGACCACAGCTCATATTTTCTATCCATACACTACTTTTTTTTAACAACGACCTTTATTTGTCCACTTCTTTTTCTGTGCTTTCTCCACACCAGGCACTGTCCACAGTGCTTTAGAAACAACGACCCATTCCTCCTCACAAGAGTCCAGTGAGGTTGGTAACACTGCCACCTCTAATTCAGAGAGGGGGCTACCCAAGCACAAAAACCCTAAGTCCCTTGCCTAAGGACACACAGCGAGGAAGCGCCCAGCCTGCACTCAAACCCACGCACTCTGGCTCAGGGTCTCGATGCTCTTAGTATTCTGCTAAGCCGCTCTCCGTGACCCAGCCATGGCTGACTCATTAGGGGACAGTAAACTGAGCTGCCTAAATTCCTCCTGTGTGTGGTGTGAGGTTGGCCGGTAGCCGTCCTGCGTGGGGGCGAGCAGTGCAGGGCGGTCTCAGGGTGTCCATCCTCCCTGAGTCTCCGCACGGCCCTGGCTGCCCGGGCTCAGCTGCTCCAAGTTCAAGTCCAAGTCCGGAGGGCGCGCACCCCGCTGAGCCGGACCTGTTGTGCCTATGCATCTAAGCCCACGTCCGCCCAGAACAAGGATTCCCAAACGTGTCCCGCATGTTTCTATTTCAGAAGGACCTACCCCAAGTCGTGGAACCGGCGAGGGTGGCCAGGACAAGAGCACAGAGCCACATCCTGGAAGGGCGACAGCTCCCGGGGCCTGCGAGGTCTCCGTGCAACTCAGAGGGACTGTGCTGTTCAGCCCCAGAGCCCAGCCCTGCCCTGTGCTGCACATTGCCTCATCGTCAGATATCAGAAACGCCCTCCTTTTCCCCAGATCTCCCTGGGCTTCTATTGGGACCTCCACGCCACGCCCACCCACAGTTTACCCTCTTTCATCAAAGCAGGCTGGACTATGCTCTCAGGTTACAGACAGCTACAAACTCGCCCAACTGCTTGTTACGTAAGGGTTCCTCCCTTGCAGGACTCTAACCTCTGTGCGCTGTGACGGCCCCCAAAGCTGTGCTAGGAGGCAGATGCTTTTAGGCAAAGAAAAGCTTCGGTCTGAGGTCCTAAGAAAAAGCTTGAAAGTCCTAGAGCTACTCACAGCCCCGCAGCTCAGCTGGGTAACTTAGCAACACATTTCAGCTCCCAGGGCTTGTGTTTTACAGCGTTCTAGACTCTCAAGTTTGGAAGCGATCTTAAATTTCATCCACTCTCCTTTCTGAGTCCTGAAATACCTTCACAATATCTTGCCCACTGATCTGGCCTCCTGTCGCACACCTCCAGTGTCAGAGAACTCACTGCTTTCCAAAGCAGAGATTTTAAGACAGAATGTAAAAATGAATTCCATCTCTCCAAAGCCCCTGGCTCTAATCATCCATCCATCCATGTACCCATCCATTCTGTGAACATTTACCAAAATGCCTGGCACCTGGCCACATATAATGGATACAAAGGCCAATTAAAGATATGGTTCAGCTTCTCAAGGGGTCACCATTGGTAGCCAAGACAGATGGCGCGGAGGAGCAGCAGAGGCAAGGTCAAAGCAATGTGAAATCACCAAATCAGGAGGATACAGCGTACTCTGGGCACACCTGGAAAGCTGTCATTTACAAGCTGCTGGGGACACAAGGAAGTCACTTAAAGCCTCTTTCATGGGATCATTAAATGTCCAACAATAGGGAATTCACTACGCACACTCTGGTTCAGCTGGCTAAGGAAATATGATGTATTCACTCAAAATATAGTATGTGCACATCTATTCATTAACACCGAAGACAGCCAGAGTCTGTTGTGAAGGGAGAAAATGACAGGTTATAAGCTGTTGTGCCGAGTAGGCAGTTCCTCAAAAAGTTGAACATAAAGTTTCCATATGACCCAGCAATTCCTCTTTTAGGTGTCTGCCCAAGAGAACTGAAAGCAGGTTTGTACAAAAACTTGTACACAAAGAGCAATGTGTACCAGAACGTGGACACGACCCACATGTCCATGACCTGGTGAATGTGGGAATAGTGTCGTCTATGCGTGCAGAGGCATATCATCCAGCCGTAGGAACAACATACTGCAGCACGGGTGAAGCTGGAAAACGTCACGGTAAAGCAAAGAAGCCAGGCACAAAAGGACACATGCCGTATGATCCTTTTCGTATGAAATTTCCAGAATAGTCAAATCCACGGAGACAGAAAGTGGTTGCCAGGGCCTTTGGAAGGGGAAAGAGACGGGAATGAGGAGTGACTATTAACAGGCACGAGGTTTACTTTGGGGGTGGTAAAAATATTCTGGGATTAAATAGTGATGATGTTAGCACAACTTTGGGAATATACTAAAAACCACCAGATTGTACAGTTTTAAAAGGTGAACTTTATGGTATGTGACTTATATTTCAATAAAATATGAGATGTTTTTGAAAATCTAGATAGGTATAATATGGTCCCATTTTACTAGTGTCATATGTCTTTATTTGCATAGGAAAATACTGGAAGACTATACATCTAATTAGAATTACAACCACCATTTCCTGGCTGTAATCTTGTCAGTGTTTTTACTTAATTGTATTTTCCACTTTTATTTCTTCATACATTGGATAAATATTTACTGAGACCTTATGGTGTGGCAAACGCTGTGCTGAGAGTTTTGAATGCAGGATCTCAGTTCTCAAAATAACCCTGTGAGATTAATGCTATCTCACCATCTTACATTCATTTCTGTTGTTTAAGCCACCCAGTCTGTGACATTTTGTTCTGGCAGCCTGAGTAGACTAATACATAGGCTCAATCCAATTCCACTCTTCATTCCCAACAGAATCTAAGGCCCAGAGACGGGGAGGGACTGCCTAAGGTCACACCGTAACTGAGTGGCAAAGTCAGGACCAGAACTCAAGGCTTCTGACTTCCCGCATAGTGTGGCTGGCAGCCATTTCTGTTGCTTTAATACATCAGGGAGATGTTCTAGTTGGTAGCCTTATCTAAGGCAAGTTGCCTTGTCAGTTCACTGACCCAGGCTGAGAATGGTAGGGCTGAAGTGTTAGAGATGGCCAGGGAGGCTGGGCACAGTGGCAACCCCCACCCCCTCTGTAATCCTAGCACTTTGGGTGGCCAAGTTGGGAGAATTGCTTGAGAGAGGAGTTCTAGTAAGACCCCATCTGAAGAAGAAGAGGAAAAGGAAGAGAAAGAGAAAAAAAGAAGGAGAAGGAGGAGAAGGAGGAAAAAAGAGAAAGAGGAGGAGGAGAGGAAGAAAATGAAGAAAAAGAAGAAGTAGGAGGAGGAGGAGATGGAGAAGGAAAAAGAAAGATGGAAGAAGAAGAAAGAAAGAAGAAGGAAGAAAGGAAAGAAGGAAGGAAGGAAGGGAGGGAGGGAGGGAGGGAGGGAGGGAGGCAGGGAGGGAGGGAAGGAGGGGAGCCAGGTAGTTGGGGAGCCATGTTGTATTTTCCCAGTCACTTGGCAAGCCTGCCCTCGTCCAGGCCAGATCATAATTGGCATCAAGAAAAGTTTGGGCAACGAGTAGCCATAAAGCATGCGACAGTTCCAGAGCTGCTGATGGGTTCTTGTCCAAGGCCATAGGATGTAGTTGAAGTGAAGCTTCTGGAACCCCAAGTTCAAAAAGGGATGCTCATTAGCACTCATTCTAGCTACGTGCAGGCTGGTGAGGGGCATTCCGTGATGGGAATGAGGATGCTGTGACAGCATGAGAATCAGTTTCCAGAGCTATTTGATTCTACAAAGGTTGACCTGAGCTTTAAGGTTCCTCCCTTACTTTTATCCAGGACAGAAACCTGGTTGATAAACACCACGCTAATAAAAAGCATTCCTATCTCTATCCACAAGAGACCATCTGGGTGGTCCTTCTAAGTAGAAAGCAAGGCTAGTCCCACTCACTCGGCACAGCACATACCCACATGCCTGTTAACCATCCTGCCTTTTGCCCTAGCCAGTTGGCTTTTGCAACCTGGGTAACAGCCCTGGCTCTTGGCCTGTGAAAACTTGATGGTGCTGTGTATGCAAAATAAAAGAGGTAAGGATTAATTCTTCTCCTGATCCACTGCTCAATCACATGGCTGCTTGTGACACTAGCCAATTCTGCAAACAGAGAATTTTTTGGCCACTCCTAGGTTTTGCCTGGGTCTGGCTAAAGCCTCTAAAGCCCGTGTTGGTTCATCATGACCTTGCAAATTGTGATGGGTGAGGCTGGAGCCTACCAAGCCTCACAACAGATCTCATTTTTGCTTAATAAATACAATTCCCCTGCATCACTTCAGCTGTAAGCAATATGTCTGTTATTGTGGCAGTTGGTTGGAGTTATTGTTTTTCCCTGAGGAATGCCCTCTGTTTTCCCATGTGGAACTCTATGATGCGAAAAGTAAAATCCTGGGAACTGGCCTTAATTTCTAAGCTGTTGGGTAGGACTTGGGAGGGTGGGCATATCTGGAGGCTTCAAATGAATCCCCCAAACCTTTTCACCTCCATCAGTATACTCAGCAGATGTATGGAAAGCACGTATTAGAGCCAGCATTGGGCCGCAGCAAGCCCACGTCCCACTGGGACCCTCACTCAGCTTTGTCTGTGAACCATGGGATTGATCGGGTATAGATTTTGTGATGGAGAACTCTGAACTGGGAGACAGAAGTCTGAGAGTCCACTGAGTGACACTGGGGATTCTTTATGGAAAGACGGGGTGGCTCTGGGGGAGGTGCCCTTTCATGCACCCTTCACTGTGGCTCTGCGCTCTATGAATCCAGGATTCTATGACATCCTCCTCTGCAGCTTAGGGATATGCAGTGTTTCTGGAGCCTCAGTTATTCCCATACTAATATCATGGTTTATGCCTTATCAGCAGATCATCTGCACTTCTATGGGCAGTTTTCTTTAAATGAAGTAACTCTTTTTACTTCCACATGCTCACTGCAAAAGGAGACTTTATACCATTTCCGTAAGGGCAAGACCAGTTTAATCTGCCATGAATTAGAGGAATACATGGGAAATGTGCGTCTGTATTTTTTAAAATTAAAATGATGGTAAAACTAAAAAAGTACATAAAGGAATGCCAGTAAAAACACTGCTAGTTTACAAAAGTGTATAACTGAAAAAAAAAGCTCTCAATGGGAAAAGTGAACCATTGAATGGCAGTTAGTTACATGAAAGCAGGGACAGCCTTCGCCATCGTGACCACCAGGTAGGTGACAAGGAATTGGCTTTGGCAAGGTTCGTCGTCACCAAATTCATTTTCTTGAGCCTCAGGCAATGTCTCCCTGTTATCATTCAGTTCGTTTGGCAGGAATTGTATTATGTTTACACCTTCCCAGGCTTGTGGTGTTGTGTTATAACTAGGGGGTCAGATTCCCTGGGGTCAATCAGGTCCTGGTTGACTGGTCAGATCATCTGGAGGAAATTCTGGCCTGGCGGTGGATCGTAGAGGAAAGAACTCCTAGGTTTTGTCCTGGTCTGGCTGAAGCCTCTGAAACCCATTTCTGGCTCATGATCTTGCAGATTGTGATGGGTGAGGCTGTGGGCATAACTAGTCACTGTCGGTGGCTCAAACAACTGGAAATCAGGCCATGTACATTCATCAGGCAATCACCCTGTGACTGCTAAGCAAGAATTATTAGTGAGATTAGGGGAAACTAGGGTAGCAAACAGCCTCAGAATTTCAGTGGCTTATTTTTCACTTAGGTAAAGGACTAGAGTGTCGTTCAGGTCAACAAGGTGGCTGTCTTCCATATGGTCACTCAAAGATCTTAGGGTGTTGGCAAACTTTCTCTATAAAGGGCCAAATAGGTAGTACTTTGGGCTTTGCAAGTCATGGGCTGTCTGTGGCAACTGCTGTGGTAGCAAAGGCAGCCCGTAAATAATATCTATGCAAATGAGCATGGCTATG